CTGATCAGTCGCAAAGCCAGTCCACTGCACGTCAAGAACAAATAAAGAAATATATTTGCAAAAATAGTTTGAAACTGTAGAGTCAATAAACAACAGCAACAACAACAACAACAAGACTCAAATGTAATTAACTATCAACACGCTACTGTGGTCTGGAGCTGAAGGTTTGTTTTCTACTCTACAGTTCCAATTCTCAGAAAATCAGGTTCAAAGACATGAGCAGCGTGTTAAAACAAAAGACACTGCACTCAGTCACTCACTCAGACACACTCAGTCACGGCTTTAAATACATCAAACATGCTGGTTAATAAAATTTTAGTTTCTAGTTACTTATTTACACTCTATAATATATGCAATAAGGTCAAACAACTAAGGCCAGTGGCTCTTCTTTGGGGAGAGGCAGGAAAAAGAGACCTAAGTATAAAAATATTAAATAAAGTTTTAACCTGGTCCTAAAGTCCTTTTTACCTGTGATACTAGCTACTAATTTGTGCAACTGCAAACCTGGAATACAGTACCCAATCTTGGGATGCCCTGATATACTTCAGCATTTATGATACTCCTTTAAAGCAAAAAAGAAGGTAAGGATACGGCACCAGGAGAGTGGTTTCATCTACTGTTAAATATACATAGGTACACGCTGGGTACTTATTTAGTTCTTCAGAAAGCTATATTTATTTTTCCTGGACTAATTACAACAATAAAGAACGTGTGCTCTAGAGCATCACATTTTGTAATAAGCCCCAAATTGTCAGTTCAACTTTATGTTTAAGTGCTCTTAATACTAAAGTTGCTAAGAGTGCACACACAGGCTGGCTTTCCCCATTTGCTTCTTTCTGTGTTTCCCAAGTGACAACACGCTACCCCCTTGGCACTGTATATTGTACACCTCAATAGTTTCACAAGGTTAGTTCAAAGTCATTTTCCCTGGTGATTCAAAGCTCACAGATAGAGGATTTTTCTAGCATAAAGTCTTAACATTTTAATCAAAATATCATCTGAATTTAAGTTTAAGAAAACAATACCACTCTGTGTGTTCTCAATTGCACTGTACAATCAGTCCTTTGAGGTTTTTACTTGCTTTTTTTCATATCACACTGGTTGATCAGGACACAAATAATTTCAATGTACATACACACCATATACTGAGATACCATCTACACACTGATTCACATACATACAACTACAAATACCCACATACACAACATTGGCAGGTGACAGAAAGCATTTTCTTTCTTTTTTTGACATTTGACACCACTGTCTGTATTCTTCAAGACCCTACAATACAACAGACACACATAAATCACAAAGGATGCACCAAGGAGACCTAAGGGAACCTACTATATACACAATTAACTTGCGATCTTTTCCTCGCTGTTGCATTCAAGTTAGAAAACCAACATGCAGATTCAAGTATTTCTTGACATTCTCTCTATGAAGACACACTCTCTTCATGCAATGAGCCTTTAACTGTCCCTAACAGGCTGCCTGCTTGGGTTTTGGATACTGCAGGTACAAAAGGAAACTGACTTTGGACTGCAGTCCTCCTTTTAAGGGAGAGTGATGGAAAAGGAATATGAGAGACGTGGTAACAAAGTACCTCTTTATCACCTCTCTATCACTCTCAGTAAATTATAAAAGGATGTCCTGTGATCTCTGAAGTCCTTTGGATGACTTGATGGTGTAGGATGACAAAGGTCAGGGGGACAAAGTCAGCAGCCTTGTCTCGGTGAATCAAAAAGCAGGAAGCTTCGGATGCCAGAAGGCCCAGAGGGTAATCTGCCTGCCAAATGGACTATCTGAGTTACTTATAACTGATGCACTGAAACCATTCCTGAATTTCTCTACTTACAGCCAGGGAGAGCTTTTCAACTGGAAGAAACCTGCCATTCAGCAGGGATCATTCACTGCTGAAAATCAAAGTGGCTACAGACCTGCTGAAAAACTTAACTGAGCCCACAAGAGCTAAACTATAGAGATTTGGACCTACAAAGCTAAGAAACCTACTATCAACCCAGGCAGAACTAGGCTTAAATGGTGAGTACAAGGAACCATGCCAAAGAATTCACATTCCAATGCCAACTGACCAAATCTACAAAATCTTGACAGGAGGACAATTGAGAAACTGCATCTCAGAACACAACTCTGGCTCTTTACTTGCTAAAGGAGGCTCTGTGTAACTCTGCTTAGGCCTGAATGGCCTCTTTCCCTTCCGGTTATAATATAACTTCTCCCTCAACTTCAGAAGTACTACACTTGGCCTTAGAATGAAACCCAAACCTAGCTGAGCCTGGAAAGACAGCCAGATTTTCCTGTTCCCAAATTATTGTCTTCACGTCACTTCTGACTAGGAAGCAGTCCTTTTTTTTCTGGCAACAGTTAGAGAACCAAGAGAACTCACAACCAGCACATGACTGCTTCATGAGAAAATGTTCTTCTTTTTTACCTCTGGGCAACTGAAAAAATTGTATTTTTATCAGAGGATACTCCCACATGTTGGTCTTACTGAGATGAATAAAAATGCACAAATGTAATACTTGGGTTCATTAAACATTGACCAAAGTTAGGTAATTGATGTTTACAAAAGTACATTGCACAATTACCTATAGTGTGTCAATCAATAAGGACTCTGTATGTCAGTAACAAAGTTATGATCGACATCTCCTTGTAAAAGATACTATGTAAGATGGGGTTAAGTCCACAAACAGAATTTTATACTTGGGCTATTTTGTGGTCAATTCTGCAACAAGACTATCAACCAAGGTCTTTTGATGACATATTTTGTACACTAAAAATTACTACTATGGGTGTTTATACAAAGAAAAATAATGGATAGGAGCCCACAGCTCCCAGGCCATGAGGTAGGGGAGAAGAGTGGGTGGGGAGGGGGTTGGTGGAGTACCTTCTACAGGAAAAGAAGGGGAGGGGACTCCCTGTACCGTGAATTGGGCAACAAGCTTGGAGGGGTAGTTAAGGGAATCACATTTCACTTCTGACTCTATGTGATCACTAAGGAAAGTGGCTGGCTGGGCACCAGACTCTCAGAATCTACTCAGATCAGAGGCTGTTTGCTCCCGAAGGATAATCTCACGGCCTGCTACATGTACTGACGGCAGACAGCATCCTTCTACAGGCCCAGGGGAGGAGGTATTTCTAGGCCAGCCTCTGAAGATGAACACCACCACACTTGGGCAGCTGGGATCCTGGCTCACAAAACAGCATTGGCATTGTTTTTAAAGATAAATGATGCAGACAAGGTATCCAGCAGGTTTGAAGGTGCCCTTGTTGCCTGATTATCTATGAGCATGTCCACATGTCCCCAGAGCCAACCCTACTGAGTCTTGTGACGAGAGCAGTGCTGATGGTGAGTATTTCAAGATGACTTTACGTGTCAGAAATACTGTAGCAAGGTACCATCATTTCAATGTATATACTGTTAATACATACGAACATTCTACATACACAGACACAAAGTGGGACGAACATGTTCAAACATGTCAATTGTTCTGAGGTACTGATGCCCACGTGGCAGCATCTAAGTACCTCTTAGTACAAATATTGAGGCAGAAAACAGACAGATGCTAGCAGTTCAGCTTCTAGGAAGAAAAGCCACTTGCTTGTTGGAATCTTGGATTCACTAAGCAGCTACCAAAATGATTTAGGTACTTAGATCACTTTGGGAATTAGCATATTAGTTTCAGGTTGTGCAACATACGTTTAGTCCTTGCCTTAATTCAAACACAATAGAGATTTGAGGAAGTTTTTCAAAGATTTGGCAAAATACCACATAGCAAGAAACTACACATTGGAGAAGGGCTATTCTTCCTTGGGCACCAATCAATACAGAAAGTAAACATTAATAAATAAGTGCTAGTACACCCTAATAGTGTCACTAAAACTACCATGATTCTTTAGCAGGCTTCCCCTAATCCACTGGGACCATGCTATTCATGCAGAGCAGCTAATGCTTTGGTCATAGTACCTTCAACTAGTAAACTAAGTAAAAGTAGAGAAGATTTCTATGGGAAGAAACAAATATTGAAGTAATCTCATTAGTCTTGAAGTTGTATTATTATCTGGGAAGATGACGGCTTTAGGGAATACAGAGTGTTGAGGTTGGAAATCAACCTCAAGTCCAGAGGGCTCAGCTTTCATTTCCTTCTCTTCCTCTGTCCAAGAGCATTTATTCTGTATTACTCTGGGTTTCAAAGGGACTGTCACCATAGCAAGCTTGTGACTGTGAGGTGAACAGTACTATTTTGAATACACAGAAAGAAATGATAAAATAGACAAAGAATATTTTAGGAAGAAGTGTAATGGTGACAGAGTGAAGTGGTTATTGAAGAGAGGGAGATAAGAATAGACTAGTACACAGTCTATGCAACTGGCAGATTTCTCCCTTTATCATCGACCATCCAGCCAGATACTCCTTTCAGATTTAGTTTAAGGAATCAATACCCATTGCTAAAGAACTAAACCTGCTATCTACTCCCTAGTTTTGTCTTGACTTTATGAAAGAACAAAAGGGGTTCCATGTTCATCATTATTTTGTTTCAATCAAGAGATGATCCCCCTATACATGCGTGTGTAGAGTAAAAAGAATCTGCTTCTGAATGGAAAATTATGACTGATGGAGATGATTCTGGATTCCTAGTCTAGACCCTGTGGGAGTGAGGTAACAATTTCTTGCAGACCATACTCATATCTACTGCTGTAGCTTCCCAAGAGCAAATTATTGTCTTTATATTTAGAAAACAGAGTTAACTCCATAGCAACCTAACCTTAGACTTCAAAGGGCAAAATGATTCCACTTCTTCTATCCCTTACTTGCTGGAGTGGAGTTCACACCATAAGAAGGAAATGTGCTTCCAGAAGTTCTCTAGTCCTGTGATCTCCATACCCTTTTTGCCCGGCTTCCAGCAGGTCAGAATCAACAATTCGTGCTAAGATGCGCATCTAGGTGCATCACTTCCTAACACCTTGACCCCCAGTACTGTAATTCTTACTTAAGCATGTGTCAGTCAGTACTCAATTTCACCTCTGTGACTGGGTGAGATTTCCCATATAAAGACTTAGGCTAATTCTGGCTAGAATTTACTAAACCACAATGTTTCTCCAGTTAAGTTTCACAATGGATTGAATTTTTCAATCTTAAAAACAAAAGTAGACCAGTTAATTGCGAATACATAAAACTGAGCAAAGTACAAACAAAACAAAATCAAAGGAGAAGGGATACGTGATTGTGGAATCACGATCCTCTGTCTCCTCACACACAAAAAAGGTGCATTAGTTACCGAGTCGCAGAAGTCATCATAGAAAGCATAGAAATCAAGAGCAAAGACAATCTCTACAGAAACTAACAAAAAAATACAAATAGAAAAAGTTACTAATGCACCATTTAGTCACAGAATTTTTTTTAAATATATTCACGGATTACCAGAAAGATCTTGAAAACCCCTATTTTGCTCCATGACCAGCACTTCCTGGCCGCAGACAGATTTTAAGTAACTTTTTGCTTAATGCTTGGTGTTTCAGGTCGGTGGTCCTTCCTCTCTGACACATTGCGCTTGACCTTGGCGGTGATTGGAGAAGAATCTGGGTTCAACGAAGGGCTTGAATGTGACTTCTTCAGTCCTGCGGTCTCACTTTCCTCATTACTCAGGAGTTGCTTGCCCCCTTCTTTCAGAATGTTGACATACATTTCATAACGGGTTTTCTGAAAGGAAAGGCAGAGAAGAATGGCAGTCAGAACACTGCTCATCCAGGTGTATGTGAGGTTGCACACCTAGTGTGTTAACAACTTGGAGAACATAGTAAACCGAGTACATGGCGGGGGGCAGTGGTACAGCAGACTGACAGATTCATTCATTCAGATAAGAAACTAAGTTAGCATTGCAGTTACCATTTCTGCTGGATTCTGACAGGGTTCCATTATTTTTTAATGTCTGAGCAAGATTCATATATATCACATTTTCTCCCTCTCTCCCTCCACAGTTGTACTATTAGGTTGATTACACAATCAGGTTATATATGAGTCATAAATGTCTCTCTGACAGATTTTAGTTATTTTGGATATATATCCAGAAGTGACATTGCCAAGTCATAGTGCTAAATTGTATTTCTAGTTTTTCTGGGAATCTCCATACAGTTTGCTATCAACAGTAGAAAAGAGTTCCCCCTTCTCTACATCTTCAGCAGCATTTTAAACATTTTCTCTTTCTAATAAGAGCCATTCTAACTGTAGCGTGATATCTCATTGCTGCTTCAATCTGTATTTCCATTGATGACCGGTGATGCTGAACATCTTTTCAAACTTGTTGACTATTTGGCTCCTTTGTTCTGTCCTTTCTCTCATTCCCTACCTCTACCTCTCACCGCCGTTCCTTGCAGACTGCCATTTTATAATCATTTCTTTTCTCTTTTTCTTTATGCTGGTATACATTCTGGACATTAGTCTCTTGTGACATGAATGATTTGCAAATATTCTCTCTCATCCTGTAAGAGGTATTTCATTCTGTTGATCATTTCCTTTGCTAAACAGAAGTTTTCAGTTTGATGCACGCTCATTTATGAACTTTGGCTTTTGCTTTGACTGTGCTTATGAAGTAATATTAAAAAACATCTTTGCTTGGACCAAAGTACTAAAGTATTTTCCCTGACACTTTCTCTCTCTTCTCTCTCTCTCTCTTCTCTCTCTCTCTCTCTCTCAAATAATATCTATATCTATATATTTTTCCCTCCCCCTTCAGTTGTAGTACTTGAACTCAGGGCCTGCAGGCTGTTCCTGAGCTTTTTTCTCAAGACTAGTGCTCTATCACTTTGAGCCACTTCTGAAAAGCTCCAGTTCTGGTTTTCTGGCGGTTAATTGGAGATAGGAGTCTCACAGACTTTCCTGCCCTGGCTGGCTTTGTACAGCAAGCTTCAGATCTCTGCCTCCTGAGTAGCTAGGATTACAGGTGTGAGCCACCAGTGCCTGGCTTCCCCAAACTTTTAGTAAATCACTTTTTTTTACGGGTTTAATATACCAGAGACCAAAACATCTGATCAGTGTTAAAGTACACAACACTGACCAAACAACGTTATAAATACTAAGACAGACATTGATACTGTTTATTGTTTTACTAACAGCCTCTTCCTCCATGGTAACGGGACAGCATTTTATTTTATTTTTGTAAATTACAAACCCATTCCCAGTCCTATGTCAGGAGCATGTCTTAAACAGACAGGGTAGCCCTTCTTCCTCGGCCCTCCCTTTCATAGGTCTCTCTGGAAGCTATGTGCCCTTGGAACTATGTGTCCTCGCTTTGGTCACTGACATGTAAGTATAAGTCAGGCCACTTCTGCAAAAACAGCTTTTGTAACCTAATTACAGGCGATAAACAAAATGTTTGGAGCCATGGTAGACATTCTGGAAGCATGAAATAAACATAAAAAGAAACAAGCCAATGTGCTCCCTGAAAGCAGATTAGAAATTTAGGAAGACTGCACAAAATTAATGGTAGCATTTAACAGCCAGCAACCACCCACTCACATTTTTCTTAAATGAGATGCAGAAGTGTTTCTGCTGTTCAAGCATTTGGTCAAGTTTCTAACGACTTTCAGCCATAAGCATTTCTAATTAATAAAATAAGATAGTCAGCTCTCAGTTTGGTCTCAATAATAAATATAAAAAAAATCCTGAGTTGTACATGTATCTCCTGTCAATTTTGCTTAGGAAAAATTACTTGATTAATAAGTTTTGATGTGGTTTAGCTTTGTTTTCCTGAAGATTCAATAAATTGTTTATGGGCATTATTTAAATATTGGGCATAGTGAGATTACATTATAAATATGAAATCAAAGATTATTATTTCCATTGACAGTTTTACATCATTTACTTATCTCTATGGCTGGAATGCAAGTCTTAGTCCCTTCCTATAAGCATACCACATGCAAGCTATTTAAGAGCTTCTTAGAGATTCTAGGAGCTAATAAAAATGAGAGTTCTTTACCAGTTTAAGGCTCTAGATAATGATTTATTATTCTGGAATTTAGAGATAATTTTTAAATTAGGAGAAGAAAATCTAAAATTAGAACTTTTCTCTTTGACTCTACCTTTGATAAGCCATCTCAGAATACATTCAGAATCATGCCATTTCTCTTTGCTTCTAACACTTCCATACAAAACCAAGCACAGTTATCTCATGCCTGCACTGCTGCAGCATCTGCCTAACTCTTTGCTTCTTTCTCTACCTCTGCCCATTATGTACACTTTTCTCCAAACAGCAGTCTGATAAAGTGTAAGACAGAGTATCTTCTCTGATCAAAATACTCTTCTCATTCTTAAGACTGTCATCTCAACTTTTAGCTGTTAAAATATGTATTCCTAGGTTTTATCAGCCTGACCATTCTTCCACGGAATTTACATGTAATGCATCATGATCACCATTTATGACTGGATATACACTTGGATATTAACCTAAGATTCTTAAGCTCCCTAGGTTAGAGAATATTAGCTTTACATGTATTAATACTGGTAAGAAAGTACTACTTAATAATAGTAATGCATTATACCCTTGCTTTGACAATGTTTATAAACAAGTGGCAAAAAAGAAAACATGGGGAAAAGGAAAAATGAAACAATGAAAAGAGTGGGGATCTTTTTTGATTTAGTGTGCCACAAAGCCATCACTACATAAGAGTTTACACAGTCCCAGGTAGGGTATAAATACTAAGCATAAGATGAGCTGGTCAGGGCTGGGAAGGTGGCTCAGTGGTAGAGCGCTTGCCTTGCATGCCTGAGGCCCTGGATTCGATTCCTCAGCACCACATAAGCAAAAAGAAAAAAGCCGGAAGTGGTGCTGTGGCTCAAGTGGTAGAGCGCTAACCTTGAGCTGAAGAGCTGAGGGACAGCGCCCAGGCCCAGAGTTCAAGCCCCATGACTGAACCTTCCCCCCTCCCCCCCAAAAAATGAGCTGGTTAAACTGTGTCCATGAGAAGTACTGTGGGAGTGAAAGGACAGCCTTGTGGCAAGACAGCTGACTGCTGACAACGTCCCTAACGAATGAAGGTGGCTCTAATGCATTCTCTCAAATCCCCACTTAGCCTTCATTGGGTGTCTTGTTCAGGGGTGCGTCTTTTGTTAAAAAGGGCCAAGGGTGTTTGAGGAAAAAAGAAGGAATGCCTCAGGGACAGTTCCCTACCTTTGCTGATGTTGTTATTCTTTCTTGGTAGCTGCCAATTCATTCTCAAATCAAGTTTAAGCAATTTCAACTCTGAGCAGTTAGTTTCCTTCCTCAGGAACACTTCCCCCAGCATGAATAGATTTCTAGTAGTCCAAACTCATGCTATAATTCCACTAGCAGAGAAATAATTGGGATGGGATTTTTACCAAATACAACAGCAGTGGCTACTCTTTGCTGATAATCATCTGAGTACTGTTCTCTTGGATGTCACCCAGCTAGCAAGCTCCCTCTGTTAATTTCTTTCCTAACATTAACTATATTCATGAAGTTTTCTATGACAACCAAGAACAAGTACCTAGTGCTTTCTTTTTCTATTACAATACATTCTTCAGTTAGTCACCTCCTTAATATTATTTTTATGGGGGGGCATACATATATTTACTGAGCTCATCTTCAATATTTTGTAAAAACCCTGCTCAAATACATAGAAAAAAATTCCCTTTTCTCTAGTAGTAGAAGCAATGCCTTCAGGGATAAGTGAAAAATACTGTGTCTAGGCCATGTAAGCTGCTAGTTGGGTTGAATGTCAATTGCTTGCTGAAAAAGTCACAGCTATTGATATTCTTGGAGGAGAAGATTAATCACATCCCCATGTAAGCTGACATGCCACTCCACAGTTTCTTCCCCATTGAGCTCTGAATACCATTTCATATTTCATTTATTAGAATCATATCTCCCTTTGACCTCTGATACAGAAACATAAAAGTAACAAGCTAAATAAAAATAAAATGTGCTGTGATTTTTAACTTACTACTCCTATTTGCATTCAGCATCTCTTTCTCCAGCAATAAAATCCTGAATACATTTTCCCTGACATTTTGTTTCCTCATACAGCGAGGGTAAAAGGTCATCTTTAGACAGAATGAATAGAAAACCAATAATATCATGTACACAGCAACATGTCTTTTGCTCTTAGACTTTTACAATGGGAAAGAAGGAAATAATCATAAGTCCAAAACAAACAAAACAAGGAGCTTCTGAAATAACTGCTTATTTGCATACAGACTATCTCCATTCTTCATTAAAAAGACTGGTGACAGCCAGGCACTGGTGGCTCACGCCTGTAATCCTAGTTACTGAGGAGGCTGAGATCTGAGGATCACAGTTCAAAGCCAGCCTGGGCAGAAAAGTCTGTGCGACACTTATCTCCAATTAACCACCAGAAAACCAGAAGTGGTGCTATGGGTCAAATGGTAGAGTGCTTGCCTTGAGCTGAAGAGCGCAGGGATAGTGCCCAAGCCCAGAGTTCAAGCCCCATGACCGACAAAAAAACAAAACAAAACACTGGTGACAGAATTGAGAGGTACTTTCTCTTGATCACCTAGCTCACCCACTTCTACCTGCTAGCTACTTCTGCCTGCTAACTAAGAGAGAAGCAACATTCAAGAGTTGTTATATAAAAACTCTATTGGGACTTACTGTTTTCAAAAAGTATTCCTCCTATGCTACTCCCATATTAGGTAGAAGTAACCAACTGCACATATACATGCGC